CCCCCCCCTCCCCCCTACTGTTTCTCAGCTTGTACTCAAGATCTGTGAAGAGGATGTATGCAAAGTCGTCAGGAAGCAGAAGATAAGGAAAGCCAAAGGCCCAGACGGTGTCTCTCCAGCCTGCCTCAAAGCCTGTGCTGTCCAGCTGTCATCCATCTTCACATTGATCTTCAACAGATCCCTGGAGCTGTGTGTAGTTCCCTCCTGCTTCAAACGCTCCACCATCATCCCTGTACCCAAGAAACCAAAAATCACAGGACTTAATGACTACAGACCTGTTGCTTTAATGTCTGTGGTGATGAAGTCATTTGAGAGACTGGTGTTGGCCCACCTGAAGAACATTACTGGACCCTTGCTGGACCCCCTGCAGTTTGCTTACCGAGCAAACAGGTCTGTGGATGATGCAGTCAATATGGGATTGCACTACATCCTCCAACATCTGGACAAACCAGGGACTTATGCAAGGATCTTGTTTGTGGACTTCAGCTCCGCTTTCAACACCATCATCCCGGACACCCTTCAGAATAAACTGACCCAGCTCTCTGTACCCACATTAGGGCTGTGCGATTAATCGAAATCGTCATAAAATTATGATTTGAGCTTGAACGATTTCTAAATTGCTTTATAGCATGATTTTCCGCGCCCCCGACCTCCCGCAGTATGCTATCCGAACCAATCAGAATGCAGTGCGCCTAAATGGAGCACGAGAACAGAACAGACCGGGCGGGCATACAAACGTAACGCCAGGTTCACACACTCCGTCTGTGGTGCGTATTTTTTCCGCGCCCATGTTAACGGATCAGAGCGTTCACACTGCACGTCCGGATTGCGGTCCGGCAGTGCGCTCAGGGAGCGATGCGTCTGCAGCAGTGCTGCGATCATTTCCGCACGAAATCTATTTCTGCTGTGCTGCACGCGCTAAATTAAAGTGACAGCGCATTATTCGCGGTAAAAATTAACATGGATTGACACGGAAATTTAGTAATTACACCATAAATGCATAGAATTAAAGTCTACCGTTTCACAGTCAACAGTCAACACATGGCTTTTTGGCTACATTTAAAACAAGGAAAAGTGCACTTTTAGATAAACAAGGCAATAATAGATAGCACTCGTGGTGGTAGTTAAACAAAGTTATTATTTATTAAATATTAAGTTATTATTTATTAAATATTATTTATTGAGTTTAAACGTGAATATGTCTATGAAAGTTTGTATTACTGTACTGTGATAAAAGAGAATCACAATGCTGAAAAAGCATTTTCAGAAACAACGTTTGGATTTGAAATCAAAATAATGGATAAATGTTGTGTTTGTGGTAAACAGCCGCGGATCAGGAGCGGACTGCAAACGCGTCCTGTGCGAAAGCACAATGAGTCCGTGCTGCTTCTGCACCGCATACACATACTGTATACGCACTGCAGACGGAGTACGTGTGAATTTGGCGCAACAAATCTAGTTCAACATCTGAGGCAATGCCACAAAGAGCTCTATGACCAATGCATGGCAAAAAAAATGTTTGTTCTGTCTATTCTAGAGACATTTTGTTACACCTTTACTTAGTGATTATTTTGCCTTATGTCTGTTCTACAGACATGTTACAGCTTTTTGATAAAGCTCTAATTGGTTTTCTTTTGGAAACATGTTTCACACCGAATGCATTCATGACTGTAAAGCATGTCTGTGTGTGTCAAAATCGTGATTAAATCAAAATCGCGTTAGGTTTTTTTTGTCCATATCGCACAGCCCTAACCCACATCCATCTGTCAGTGGATCACCAGCTTCCTGACAGACAGACAGCAGCTAGTGAGGATGGGAAAACTCACATCCAACACCCGCACCATCAGTGCATTAATGCATTTGCAGACAATGTAATTACATGTAACTGTCATATAACTGTATATTCGCTGTTTTAGAGGAGAGTGCCATTGAATGTGTAGCTAATATTAAGTGGATTTTCATGAAAAAAAAAATCAGAACTGAACAAACACTGGATTAAAAAAAACCTCCCAATAAATGTCCAAACAGCGATGCTATTAGAGCATTTATTGTATTATATATTGCATCATTTGCATCTATTTTTGCATTTGTTGTTGATTTGAGGAGTTGTTACTTATTATTGCCATCATACCAACTGAGAAGCAATTACTTTAAATTCAGTTGAGGTATCTGACATATTATGAACTAACATTGATGTTTTATATGAAGTCTTTAGAGCCATAGGCTATAATATGTTGTTTTTAGATAAATTGCTCAGAGACCAACCAGTTGGACAGAGGTTATATGTACAAATCATCCAAGCATTCAATTCCTAGCCATTTCTATAGACAGCTGGCTGTCTGGTGCAGTCACAACAACCTGGAGCTGAACACACTCAAAACTGTAGAGATGATAGTGGACTTCAGGAGAAACCCCCCGCTCACCATCATGAACAGCACTGTGACTGCAGTGTAGTCATTCAGATTCCTGGGAACCACCATCTCTCAGGACCTGAAGTGGGACACTCACATCCACTCCATCATGAAAAAGGCCCAGCAGAGGTTGTACTTCCTTCGTCAGCTGAAAAAGTTCAACCTGCCACAGGCGCATATGACACAGTTTTACTCAGCTGTTATTGAGTCGGTTCTGTGCTCCTCTATAACTGTCTGGTTTGGGTCAGCCAGCAAATCAGACATAAGACTGCAGCGGACTGTTAGGACAGCAGAAAGGATCATTGGTGTCCACCTGCCCAATCTTCCAATAGGGTCTGGCTGCAGATATGCACTTGCATTTTCAGACTTGCACTCTCAGACACCAGCACTTCCGTGAGTGACGTCACTTGCAGTCTTTTTTTATTTAATTTAATTGATTAATAATTTTTTAATTGAATCTCTCAACATTTTACACAAGTAGCCAAGAAAAAATAAACTAAATCACGAAGTCACTTGCAATCGCCGCTTGCACTCTCAGCTACTTGCAATCCACACGAATCGTGCGTGTTGCCAATGGAGACAAGACGCTGTGGTGGTTAAATGATTAAAACTAATTTAGTACTATAACATACAGGATCCTGCAAGTCATCTGTAGGAGAAAAAGACAAGACCCGCAAATCTGTGGCCACAGAACAGCAGAATATGAACGCAATGCGCAAAGTCTCTCTTTAAGCGCTTTTAAACCTCCCGTAAAAAACCATCGCAATTGCAAGTGACTTCGTGATTTAGTTTCTTTTTTCTTGTTTTCACCACCTGGCTACTTGTGTAAAATGTTGAGAGATTCAATAAAAAAAATAACTAATCAATTAAATTAAACAAAGAAAGACTGCAAGTGATGTCAATTGCGGGAGTGCAGGTGTCTGAGAGTGCAAGTCTGAGAGTGCAAGTGCATGTCTGCAGCCAGACCCTTCTCCAATCTTCAGGACTTGTACAACTCCAGAGTGAAGAAACAGGCAGGTAACATCATCACAGACCCCTCTCACCCCAGACACAACCTGTTTGCACTTCTCCCTTCAGGCAGACGCTACAGATCTCTGTGCACTAGAACATCTAGGCATAAAAACAGTTTTCCCCCATGTCACCTCCAGCTTAAACAGCTAACACAGGAATTATTAAATGTGTTCTGTAATTCATTCTCCATCTATAATTATTGCCTCTCTCTCAAGTACTATGTAAATACATACAGGTGCATCTCAATAAATTAGAATGTCATGGAAAAGTTCATTTATTTCAGTAATTCAACTCAAATTGTGAAACTCGTGTATTAAATAAATTCAATGCACACAGACTGAAGTAGTTTAAGTCTTTGGTTCTTTTAATTGTGATGATTTTGGCTCACATTTAACAAAAACCCACCAATTGATTCTCCTAACACCCAAGTGATTCTCCCACTTTTCCACAGTTTTACAGCCCATTTCTGGAGTCTTCTTCAGATCTAAGCGGTGAAAAACCAGCGCTGAAGCAGAGGGGTTCATGACACTTTAAATCAGGGGTGTCAAACTCAATTCCTGGAGGGCCGGAGCCCTGCAGAGTTTTGTTCCAACCCTGCTCCAACACACATACCATGTAGTTTTCAAATAAGCCTGAAGGACTTGATTAGTTGGATCAGGTGTGTTTAATTAGGGTTGAATCTAAACTCTGCAGGGCTCTGGCCCTCCAGGAATTGAGTTTGACACCCCAGCTTTAAATGCTTCCACATCGACCATATGCTTGCTTTATTATAAAGAGTGCAAGCCTCTCACTCTACGCTGGGTGCTATTTGATCGCGTCACGTCACTGTTCGGTACACTTTATTCGGTGTTTTAGCTTATTCAGCCGAACACTGAAAGAGCTGTTTTTGCTATTTTCGGTTGCCGAACCTATTCAGAATATGTTAATTTGTGTTTGGAAGCTGAAGGCCGTCTCGTGAAGAACGGTGCGAGTAATAAAGCGCTGACCTGTTGATGATCAGGGCCTGCTCCTCGATCAGGTTTCCCTCTCCGATCACGATGGGTCCGGCCTCTGCGATGATCCGTGCCTTCGGGTGAACCACGGTCCTCGCTCCTGAAACCAGAGTCAGCAGATCGTGATTATCATCCTGCAGAGCGAAGCAGCTCTTCATTCACAGCTCCTGATAAAACCACCTCTACATAAACATGAACAGCACAAATGTTCATAAACTGCTTTGATTGGCGTCGTCCGGTGATGTCATGTCACCGTTACTATAGCAACACTGGACCGGCCAATCAGAGGACAGGAGCACGGCTGTCTGTTTATAACCCATGGTAAATGGTATCTGTGTCTCATCACACTGTCAGTGGGTGAAGTGTGTTTTGTGAGTGAATGTACCGATGGTCACGTCTCCTCGGATGTCGCTCTCCACACACACGACTGCTCCGGCTGCGATCTTCACACTGAAACACACACAACATCAGCTTCACAGAGAACACATGGGGACTCCTCATGAACGCAGACTCTGCGGTGCGACTGAAACACATCATGCACATTCTTCAGTTAGGATTATTTCTGACAGCTCTCCTGTGGCTCTGAGTGTTTATGTGATGAGACGTGCTTCTGGACGGTTTGGAAACACTTGTTAGACAGCTGAGGTCAAGTTAACCTCCACGAGCAGCTCTGAAGACTCTCTGAATCTGATCAGGAACGTGTGTGTGATAAACTAAAATACACACTGAATGAAGCTCAGCAGAACAGACACACAGAGAAATCAGTCAGAAATATCTGAAACAGCTGCCACAGATCGCTTATGGATTTGCCCTTCAGTCGTGTGGTTTTTCCCCCACCTAATCTCAGAAACATCTCACTGGATTATCACAACATTTGCTAAATAGTCAAACTGATATGTCCTACAGGCAGACTACTAAAGACATGACCATCTACTGAGCCGTTTACTGACTGCAGTCAAACATCACTGATCATCACTTTATTATCTCGGGTTGCTGGACGAATAACATGAGACAGATATAAACATGATATTCCTGACACAGACCGCTATCTAATACACATGTTTAATTCACTAAACTCAAATTCATTGTGTCACGAGGACTAAATGAACACTCATCCTTAACATGCGGATAATGAGTGTGACATCATGTGATCATCTGAAGGGCCCTCAGTAGGGAGCATCTTCTTTCGGAAAATTAAACGTACAATCAAAAGACAAAGACAAAAACAAAGAAATCTGCAAACTTGATCTTCAAAGTTTAAACAGGTTTACTCTCGATCGTGAATGAACAGTGACTATCAATCTGAACTTCAACATCCCGATTATAAATATATAATAGTAAACTGCTGCTGCTCTTTTCCTCTAGCTTATTAATAACGCATGATAATAGAGAGGCAGGTATCATGTGTTGATATACATTTTAATACGACGTTTGTTCGGCTCTGTCCGTTTTAATATGGATTTGTTTTGATTTTTAATGACACACAAAAGTCTGTACCGCATTACAGGCATCGTTGCAGGTGCATTCGCGAGATTTATCCGTAAAAACGTGACAAAATGCTGTTTATGAAACATGTTTACCTTTTCTGTCCGGTTTGTTTTACCTTCGGATCCGCCATCTTTACGCGCTCGCTCGATGACGTCACCGCTCGACTGAGCCGCCTGGCAGCGATGACGCGTGCGAGCGATCGATGTTGTCTGTTCAGAGTCTTCTTCTTCTTCTTCTTTGGCATTTTTTGGCGTATTCCGCACCATAGGCACATACCGCCACCAACTGTTTCTAATCATACATGGATGATAGTCCCGCCTCTATTCATATTTTATTATTATTATATATATATTTTTTAATTGTTAATTTTGCCAAAAAACCCAGCTTGTGTGTTCCCCTATTCCTTTGCTTTATTTAACTGTCAAATTCGTTTGTTTAATCCTGTTTCTACTATATATTTCATTACTATTCTTTGATTAATACCTTCTCTTGATCCTTTTCCTAATATCCAATTCATCTTCTTTTTTTTTCTTTATTATTAAGTTCTTTATCATTTTAATTCTCTCATTTCCGACATTTTAATATTACATGTTCAACGGTTTCTATTACCCCACAAAAAGCACATTTACCTGTAATATGTTTACCTATTTTGTATAGTGATGCATTTAGTCCTGTGTGCCCAAATTGTAATCTATTTAAAATCACCTCATCTTTCCTACATCTTCCAAAATTGTATACTTCTTTAACTGATTAATTTAATTTATAATTAAATTTGACAATATCAGCTATGTCCCACTTCTTCTGCCACTCTTTTTGAATATTTGATTTTATAATTGATTTAATTTCTTCTCTTCCTAATGGGACTTTAATCTCGATATCCTTTTTTTTGGTTGCCTTTTTTGCTAACTTCATTGCCATTGATTCCTGTGTGAGCCGGAACCCAACAAAATTTGACATCTATTCTCATGCTATTTAGAGATTTTAATGTCATACATATATCATTTAAAATGTCTTCTCTAATGGATTTATATGAAACCAAATTATTTAGCGCTGACATAGAGTCTGAACATATAATTACTCTATCTGGTCTAACATCTTCTATCCACTGTAATGCAACCATTATTGCAACTAATTCTACTGTATATATTGCTAAATTATTTGATAATCTTTTGAATATGCTTATTTCGAATTCTGGAATAAATATTCCTATACCTGTCACCCCAGATTCTGGTACCTTTGATCCGTCTGTAAATATCTGTAAGTATGAAAAATAATTAGATTGTATGCATTTCTCTATATACACACTTTAGTATTATTTTCATATATTTATTTATTTTTGTTTAAATTTTTATCTACATTTGCCATAGGAAATAACCATGGTGGGATTATTCCTATTGCTACAGATGGTCCTAACACTATTTTCGATACCTTTCACTATTCACTATATATACCACACTATTCACTTCACCTTTTATTGTCCACCCAAAACCCCTTCCTGGATTTATTTTATATTCCCAACAGTCTTCAAGTATTTTCTTAGTTTGATGTTCTTGTTTACTACTTTCCAATCTACTCCAATATGCCAGAGATATTTTGTTTCTTCTTATATCTAGTGGTAATTCTTCTGTTGCTATCATTAAGGCATTATTTGGAGTATGTCGAAATGCTCCAGTACATACTCTTAAAGCTTTAGCCTGTATTATATCCAATTTTTTTAGGTTTGTTTTGGCCGCTGCTCTGTATATTATACAACCATAATCAAAAATGGGTCTCAGCATACCTCTATATATATTAATCATTGTTGTTTTATCTGCACCCCATCCACATCCTGATATAGCCTTCATCAAATTTATAACTTTTTTGCTGTTCAGAGTCAGATAATCCGGAGTCAATCATAGAGTCAAATCAGAGCGCCACACACACACACGCGCGCGCGCGATCCAAACGAAGGCTGTCATCCATGATGATTCGTGCTGTATTAAATGAAGAGGATGCTCAGTCGCATCAGATCATGCCTTTAGTTCACGAGCTTCAGGCCCAGAGACGTTGATTAATTTAATGATTATTATTATTATTATTATTATTATTATATCACAAAACTGGCATGTTTTAATAAAAACAATAACAGCGTCTGTCTGGACAACATCAGAATGCACTCACATCCATTAGATTCAGTCTCAAACATCCCTGCTGGAAAAACAGAAACAATAAAAGCCATCACAGAAATTCTGATGCTTACAAACACCATTACAAACATTACAAACCATCAACTCTTAACCATTCAAAAATGGTTTTCTGTAGTGTGTTTTGGGAAATATTCAATTAGGATTTATTGGTTTTAAAAGCCACCAATAGAAGGTGATCAATTACCAGTAGAGACCCACAGGGTCCATTACAGTTTCCATTCAAACCAATACAAGTCCCATTATAACCAGTAAAACCATTACAAATCCTGTGATGCTGTCTATGGTTTTTCTAAGCAGAGATGTGCTGGTCACATTTCACCTCAGAATCTAAAGAAAAACGTAATGACATTTCAGCACTTATTTTAGTTATCTTCAACTCTTTTATATGAACTTCACAAGGTTATTGAGTGAAGCTGAATCAATACTAAATTACAACACTTTTGTCTTTTTCCAGCTGCTTTACAGCCGAATTTGGACTTGTGTCATACTTGATGAAGTCTGCATCACTGATTCTGTCTCTTCCCTGTGTAATACTGTGAAGCTGCTCTAAAACAATCTCTACTGTATACAGAAGCAGATAAATAAAACAAAAATTATTCTCATGTTAGTCTCATTAATGCAGTGCTGCTGCTGCTATTTTCAAACCAGCATGAAAATTTAGTGCCCAAAATTGTGATGAAAATAACAGTCATAACGCAACAACTCTTTATAGTTACAGAACACACAGCCAAAGCGAGCCATGCATTTAATATTCACAGAGAGAGAGAGAGACATAGAGAGACATAGAGAGCGAGAGAGAGAGAGAGAGAGAGAGAGAGAGAGAGAGAGAGAGAGAGAGAGAGAGAGAGAGAGAGAGAGAGAGAGAGAGAGAGAGAGAGAGAGAGAGAGAGAGAGAGAGAGAGAGAGAGAGAGAGAGAGAGAGAGAGAGAGAGAGAGAGAGAGAGAGAGAGAGAGAGAGAGAGAGAGAGAGAGAGAGAGAGTGAGAGAGAGAGAGA